TGTGGGTGAGGGGTTTGTGGGGAGATGAGGTTGTGGATGGGGGTGTGAGGCTTGTGGGGGGTGTGGTGTTTGTGGGTGGATTGTGGGGGGACTGTGGGGATGTGGGGACTGTGTGGGAGGGGTGGGCCCCCTGATCACCTCCCTCCATGGTGCACAGCCACCCCCCACAGCAGCAGTAGCCAGCAGTGGACCCTTGGTGCGCTCATGGCCCTCTGCAGATAGAGCCCCTGGGCAGCGGGTGGTGGCACCTGATACCTGGGGGCTACACGTAGTGCACAGAGCCAGTCTGGCCCACAGGCACACACCTTCAGGCAGGACTGGGCCAGTTCCTGCTGCCACCCAGGGCTCCTGGCACTGCACATGGGAGCCACGCACCATCGGGCTGGGCATGTGGCAGGCACATGGATTCGGGAGCTGGGCTGACTTGATGGCATGCAACTACCGCCTCCAGTAACAGGAGCCCTTTGTGGTGGAGCTGGTCTGGTCCTGCCCAAAGGCAAGTGCTAGCAGGCCAGACTGGCTCCATGAGCCATGTGTAGCCCCCGGGTCTTAGGCAGCACCACACACTGCCAGGGGGCTCTGCCTGCAGCAGGCCATGACTACCCTTAGGGCCTGCTGCTGGCTGCTGCAGTGGTAGGCTGTGTGTTTTGGGGGAAGGCGGCAGGAAACCCACCCATCCCACACAGTCTTCCCACACCCACACAGTCCCCCTACTCACACATAGTCCCCACCACCCCCACTTACTTGCTTACTGGGGACAGGGCTTGGGTCCAAGCCACTACTGCCAGCCGTGCCCTGCTTCTATTTCCTCCAGCACACTGAGGCAGTATGCTGGAGCAGCAGGGGCATATGGCAGGCATAGAGACTCTCTGGCCGGGTGCTAGAGTGTCTCTTTGGAGGACCCAGCCTCCAGTTGCTTTCCAGGAGCGCGCCCTGTGCAGCTTTTTTCTGGCATGTTTTGTTTTGATACCAGGATGTCTATATTAGTGCATGGCATAGACATCCTTCATCTCTGTTTTTTGTTCTCTCTCTCTCACTCTTTCTGTCTCTCTCTCTATATGTACTTGTAGACTTCCAAAAACCAAACAGGCTTTATAGTGTTTCCTGAGAGTTGTCTGACTTGAGCTATTTTAAATCAAAATCAGGTATTAAATATAAAATGAAGGATGCATTGAAAGGGTGCATCCCCATGAGCACACACAGGCAGTTTGTAGCACTGCAGACCTGTCTGTGGTGCTGCAAACCACATGAACCACACATGCAGGCATTCACCATGCTGTTAATTTGCAGCGTGGTGAGGTTTTTTGACCCCAGGAGATCTCAGTGTCAAAAAAACCCATGCCAGAAAAAAGTGGAACAGTGCATGTGGCAGCAGTATGCACCACCTGAAACCAGAGCCTAGCCAGCCAGAGTCATGCTCTGGTTGCTGGCCAGGCTCCACGTGCCCAGATTGCTGCTTCTGGAGCCCCGGGAAGCCCCCAGGACCCCAGGTAAGGCTGCTGGGGCCAGCCCAGGTGCTGGGACCCGCCCTCCCTTACCCCACCCAAAGTAACTTTGCCAGATTGCGCATGCAGCGGTGTTACCTGGG